GGTCTGTGTCTGGATATATCAATCTAAATTTTGGCATTAAGTTGTTGATTGCGGGAGGAGATAAACACAAGTTTCCTGATTTAGCCATCTTGGCCCTGTCATGGCAAGGTTTTTTTTTTTTTAGACAGAAATTTCATCATACCTGTCAACATCTTATTTATTTTTTTTGCGGTACCAGAGATTGAACGCAGGGCCATATAATCTGTGGTTTAGATACATTCTTGGCCCCTGTCACTATTTTAAATGTATACACCTTTGACCTAGTTGCTTAGCATGGTTTGTTGCAACATTACCTGATAAAGCAACAGAAAGCAAAATACTCGGAACTAGAAGTAACCTAAGGTCCACCAATAAAAGGTTGGCTAAATAAACAAAATGAAAATGGAAAGGTGTACTTCCATACATAAGAAACATTCAAAATGAGAAGTGGGAAGTAAAAGATTGGGGATTGGGGAAATAAATGTTACTGGTTATTTTATAACCTCTAAGCTTTTTACTTTTGTTTTAACCATGTGTTTCCAGTACATTAAATAAATAAGCAAAGCCAAATTGCACTTAATCACAATATTTCCTTTAAAGCAATCCAAGGGAAAGAGAAGAGAGAAAAGTGAGGTGTGTATTCCTCCCATATAACTGTTTATTTCCTTCCAGTGCCCAAATAACCCAGGGCTCATTGTGACCTGAAAGAACACTGAGTTGACAGAGATCTACCATGAGCTGTATTAAGACCATTTTTGGTGCTGATTTTGGGTCACCTCTGGCTGTGCTTGGACTCACTCTTGCCTTTATGCTCAGAGATCACTCATAATGGAGCTGGATAATTGCCTTACCTGCTGTACTATTTATTTTGCCCATCACTTGGATCTTTGTCATTGCTTTTGAAATACTGTACAGTGAAAACCATATATGCCCTCTCATCCACTGGACAAAGCTGGACCCTCACCTGTGGGGGACCCTGTCACTTCACTGTATCATGTACAGCTCCGCTTTCCACCTACTCCCTAACGTATTTATTACTGTACTCCACAATGATGAGGTCCTGGAAACAGGAGGAATAAGATGGGGAGGGGATAGCAGGGGATAGCCCTGACTGTTAAATATGGTGCACCAAGGAGAATCCTCCACCAACAGTAAGAGGATGGGGGTACGCAGAGAGCAAGCTCTACACATAAAGGCACATCCAGACTGATGGGGAAGGGGAGAGAGAGGCTTCTTTTATCACACTGGGGACAGATGTAGTGGGCAAGAGGGGGGTTACGACCTTATTATGTACCCCCCACTAGCGTCTAGAGGTTTTGAAACCCTTTCGACCAAACACCTAATTCTGAGACTACTCTGAAATCCATCTTTCAATGCAGTGAATAGCTATCCACTTGAAAATCAACTTCTTCCATATCAACTTCCATAAAGAGTGTGATATATGAGGGGTGGTGGGGGTGGGAGGTGCAGCAATATACTTAAGGAACAGGAACTGAAAGAAAAAAAATAGAAATGCAATGAAAATTTCCACACTGTCTCACCCCAGAGGAATTTTCACAAAGATGTTCAACAACATTAGAAAAATGTCTGACGATGGAGAAATACCTATGGATGGATGTGTTTACCACAACACAGCACATTTAACCTGCTTTTTTTTTTAGAAGACCACACATGCTGACACTCTAGAAGATTTTTTCAAAGACTTCCATGCTTTAAATGAGCTCTTCAAACTTGTGAAACTATATGTTTGAATTTCATGTACAGCTCTTTGCTTGCCAGAAGCTAGACTTTACAATTTGATATTTAAAATTTGTATTTAGTCTTTTTTGCTTTAAGCATTGCTTTAATTAACTCAAACTTTCTTAAATCAAGAAAGTTTTTAAAAAATCAGGATATAAATAAAGGGAATGGATCTTTTTGCCATTCACTATTTAAGTTTTTGTTTATCTTTGTGCTATTGAGGAAGTTCTGCTTGGAGGTGTTGAGGGGAGGAGGGCACAAAGAGATGGGGCTCGAACTCAGGACCTTACACATGCAAAGCAAGTGCTCTACTACTTGAGTTCAGGCCAAAGCCCAGATCCCCTTAAGCTTCCATTTTTATGTTCCACAGTTGGAAAAATAATGTGTCCTACAAACAAGCAGAAAGTATACAGGCAGAGAACCCTCCTTGACTAGCATTTTACTATTTTTAAATGCTTGGGAATTTGGGGAGAGAGTCTTTGTCATCACCACTAGCGATTTAAAGGATGTATGGAGATCCAGGATTTTGCTGAAATAGAGCTCTGAAGACTGCACTGATATGCATAGAACTAGGAAGAATTCTCAGTAAGATTTCTGTACACTTGAATGAAGGCAGCTATGTTAGACCTAGTGCTTTCTTTGCAGATGCTCTCTGTAAGATGTATCTTGGCCTTTTTATGAAGTGAAATCTAGACTGAAACATCAGATAGAACTTTACTTCTTATGAGAACTTTACTTCTCATAAGTCATGGAGAAAAAGCCCTTCAAGGTGCAAGGCCTCTAAACAAATAGAGCAAAAATGTGTGAGTAACACAGTCTGGAATGAATGCAAGTCCCAGTCACTACAAGAACATCAACAACAGTATGGGAGAGGCAAGGGGATTCTTTTAAAGATGGAAAAAGCACTACTGGCTTTTAAAATAAATATGGAGATGATTTTCTGTTAACAGGTTATATCAAACAATATCGTCCAGGTTAAATGATGAGACTAGGAGCTTTTGCATACCCTTTTCACAATACACAGATTTTATTCTACCATTATTCTTCTATCTTGTCTGTGAAGACTAGAAGTATAGACCTAATTTCTGAATCTTCACCCCAGATGGGATGAAGGATAAAGTTTTCCTCATGCCTTCAGTGAAACATGGCTTTTAGCAGTCATCCTTCAAAAGCAATATTTGTATTCAAAGAAGAGCAGCAGCAAACCTTTAAACCTGTCTTTGAAACTTACCTGCTAGGAGACACTGGACTAGAAATATAATCCTCTGGGTCTGCAGCATCTCCTTTAAAAAAGGGCAGAGTTGGGACTAACCCCAGCTCCACTGACTTAGAAAAACATGTTTTTCCCATTTGGACCTTTGTGTACTGACAATATCCGCAATGTTTTGGTATATGTGATTACTAATGTCCTTTTAATAATATAATGACAATTATTGTCATTTATAATGACAGTCATATAATTAATTCCAATTAGTACTGCAATGTTTTTCTGACCAAAGTTTAACAAAAAAACATTTTGCACATCAATTCCCCAGAACAGTTGCATTTTTAACCATGCAAGAGAGAGAAGATATCTCTAAAAATCAATAGGAAGTTTAGCAGAGAGTCTCTCAGTCAAAACTTCTAGATTATCACCACTTTGAGGCAGCACTCGGTGTCCCACAACAAACCAGGACACACCCTACCAGGGAAAGGTCAGAGAATGCTGAAGTGATGCCCAGTTTGCCCGTGAGAATATTAAAGACACTACCGAGGGCATTGTGGGCCTCCACGGAGAAAGTGCCATAGGAAACTCAGGACCTTCGACCACACTGGGAGGCATCTGTTGGGAATAACAGAGCTCTGGCAACAAGGAAATAGTGGGTATGTAAGGCCAGTAGCAGAGGGAAGGGACAGAGACGGGATAAAGTTAGTGAGAGGCGGAAGAGACTATGCAGAGAAAATTGAGGAGCAGGGTGGGGACAAGTGTTCCAAGAGCCCCCTCAGCAAAGGAGCGAACACAGCTGCAAGGACAGGCCGTGGCCTCATCTGGGCTCTCGGGGGTTCAGGAGTGGTGCCCAGCTGTTCAGAGGAAGGGACGACTTTGGTCTGTGCAAGTTCACTGTGGAAACTTTGGCCAACCAGCACACTGTTCCGTTTCATGCTGCTCTGATGTGACAGATGTGTGGGACATACCACATGCGTGTGCAAAGACATTCAGGGAAGAAGGAGAGGACAGAGAAGGAAAAGCTCTCCTTCACTCACACAGACCCAAGTCTGACTCTAAGCACAGATTAACTGAGTTGCTAATCATAACCCACAGTCCGCTGAGATGGAATCTTACAAACTTTTTTCTTTTTGGTTTGTTATTTTGGGCCACACCCAGTGGTGCTCTGGGGTTACTATGGGCTCGGCAATCAGAGATCACTCCTGGTGGGCTCAGGGGACCCTATGGGATGCCAGGGATAGAACTTGCGTCGGCCATGTGTAAAGCAAGCACCCTACCTGCTGTACTATTGCTCTGGCCCTTACAGGTGCTTTTATAGAGTAATAATCTGGACTGAACACTAATTAAGTAGATCGCTTTCTGTATTTATCATAAATCCATTCCATTTGTAACAGTGATCTATTCTGTTTGCAACAGGTAATTCATTCTCTATTTGGTCATCAGCATTTACTAACAATATATTAATAAACTATTCTATCCTCAGAGTCTTATCTTTTTCCTAGCTATATGTGGTCTAAAACAAATTGACAATAAAGTGCTACTTGATAATGATAGCTTTACGAATAGTAAGTTTTTATTGTCTATACATGAGTAGGTATAAAAAATCTCAATTAATATTTATTGAAAGTCCAAGATTCTATAATTTTCAATTCTGTAAGCAAATAGACACAATTGTAATGAAATCAATTAAAAGCTTGTGCCAATTTGTTTTATATAAAAGAAATAAATTTTCTGTAGAATTAAAAAAAAAAGGATCTGGGCTGAAATTATGCCCACAGGCACAGCAGTAGCTGCTAGAGATGGGGTTCAAAACCAGACTGCTCCATCTTCAAGGCCCCTTCCCTACTGTCTACTTGACTTGGCTCCTGTGGTACCCGTGTGAGACTCAAGTGGTACAGTGAGAGGAAAAACCTAGCAAGAACGTCACATGGAGACATGTGGACAGCCTCCGGAGGATGGAGTGTCTGCACATGCTGGCAAGTTTCTAGTAGAGTGGCACCATGCCCGAAGTTGGTGACAACTGGAGTTGCAGCTGAGCGGGCATTGGCAGCCCACTTAAGAGTTTGGACCCTACCTGCTTCTCCAGCTGTGCCTGCAGCTGGCGGATGAGCTCATCTTTGCCTTGCAGGGCTTTAAGCAAGTCCTGGTACTTCCGGTGCAGGCTGCCTGCTGAGTCCACGTTCTTCAGGTTTAACAGTTTCGCCTTCTCCTCCATCTCACCCATCTGAAAAATACCCATCAGCTCAGGAGGCCGAGTCACAAAACATGTGTGTGATACGGATATAGACGCTCCCCAATGCTCAGGTCTGTGACTCCCAGCAAAGCCCTAATCTGGGGCAGTCAGTTAATTCAGTGCCCACACTTCTTTTTGTTCATTTTTGATTTTTTGTTTTTTGGGCCACAGGTGGCAGTGCTCAGGGGTTATTCCTGACTCTTCACTCAGGAATTGCTCCTGGTGGTGCTCGGGGGACCATATGGGATGCCGGGGACCCGGATTGGCTGTGAGCCAAGCAAGCACCTTACTGGCTTTACCATGGTGACGGCCCAAGTTCAGTGACCAGACTACTTCTTAAGGCTTTCACTTGGGGCAGAGGAGGAAGTGACAAGGAAGGCAGAACCAGGCATTGGGCTATCCCACACTGGGGGGCCCCTGCAGGGGTGAGCTGGGACAGTCTTGGAGAGGAACTGTTCCAGCCTCCTCATGGCAGTGACCTCCACTGCTCTCTGAATGACCATGAGCAGCCCCCTAGTACCCAGTCTTCTTGCAGCTAGAAGGCCCTGGATTCACTTCAGCCAGTGAAGTTGAATGAGAGTTCTGGGCTAAGGCACGTAAGAGGCACACAAGCTCTTCCCTGTCACAGCACAGAGGCTGATGTTCCAGATGGTTCCACTAGAGAGGGGCAGCTGCCAGGGTCCCTAATCATGTGTGCATCAGACTACCTCAGTGAAAACAAAGAATGATCAACCACTGAGATGTCAGGTGTCGTTTCTTACTATACAGGTGTCGTTTCTTAGCACAACACAGCCTGTGAGGACTAATCCACTCACCCACTCAGGGCCCCAACCCTCAGCCACTCCCCTTCATACCCACAGCAGACTCAGAGGACTATGGTATGACTGCAGATTCTTCTCGTCTCTGCAAGGAGCTCATCAATGTGATGAGTGTGTCTACAGGAAAGGCTAGTGGCTACTCCCCTTCTCCTGTCCCTGCACACTCCCTCCAGGCCTCTCCCCCAACCCCCAATTACCTGGGTCTCTGCATTCTCAGCTCTCTGCTCTGCTTCCAGCAGCCTTTGTTCCAGCTCCTGCATCTGCTCAGAGGGGAAGAGGAGAGACCAATGTAGTATCCATACTGTGAACATGACAGGAGAGATAGTAAAGTGGATAGGGGTGCTGGCCTTACACACAGTCAACCTGGGCTCAATGCCCAGCACCACGTTATGGTTCCCCAAGCACCACCTGGGTGATCCCTGAACACAGAGCCAGGGGGAAGCCTTGAGCACTGCCACCTGTGGCCCCAAAACCAAGGGTAGGATGGAGGGGGAGGACAACATGGTGGATTGGGCAGACACTGCCCAAAGGTTGGGCTTATACTGCCCAACTCAAGTCGCTCAGAGGGTAATCAAGATTTGCATGGCAACTCTTGGCCCCCTTATTCTGAATTATGGGCTGGGAGGAGCCCAGAGTAATGTTCCCTCTGCTGAGATAAGAGCTTGGTTCCAGAGAGGGGCAGCGACCCCTGCTATTCTTTCTGGGGCACCTCCTCCCCTGGTCCGGCCTCAGTCTCCTCTCCTTGAGGCCACTCTTTTCTCAGCACTGGGCTGTAGGCTGTGCCATGCCACTGTGCCCTGTGCCTGGTATGGGACAAATGCCCACATGAGTGTCTATCACAGTCTCAGTGAGAAATTGTTCCTAGAGAATGTTCCTTCCCATCCTGAAAGACACGGCTGGCCAGCAACCAATCCTTCCTTACCCCCTCTCCAGGATATCTCTACTGTAATGGTATCACAGGTATCCCCATATTTAATTTCTTTACTCTGAAGGAGACATACGTTTTTTGAGTTTTGGTTTGGTTTGGGGACCACACCTGGCAGTGTTCAGGAGCTACTCATGGCTCTGTGCGCAGGAATCATTCCTGGTGTTGCTTGGGGGACCATGTGGGATGCTGGGGGTTAAACCTGAGTCAGCCACATGCAAAGCAAACTATATACCTGCTATATAATTGTTCTGGCTCCAATACATACTATTTTCAGTGTGTGGGGAGAGCCAGTGGTGCTCAGAGTCTAATTCTGGCACTTATGGAACCCTCTGGGATACTGGGGATTGAACACGGGTTGGCCACGTGCAAGGCAAACGCTCTTCCCACTATACTATTGCTTCAGTACTATATTTCCAAACTCCTATCTTGCCATCAGTAGAGAGAGGCGTGTCACTCAGATCTGAGGGGGATCAGCAATTCTGGATTCTGAGGCCAAATGGCCCAAGCAAAGGAACCAAAGTTCTTGCACCTGAGGCTCAGTAGGCACGAGGTCTAGAGGCTACCACTCTCCACCATGTCCCTGTTGCTTCAAGAGCTCCCGGCTTGGTGAGGAGACAGAGCGTCCAAGCTCGGCTCTCCATGTGGCCCTCACCAGGGTTCAGCCAAGTACTGCACAAGCCCACACCATCATGAGAAGGATGGGTAGAAGCCGGGCCGGCACACACCTAGCTCTCTTGTCAAGGGCACGAGCCCCAGCATAGCTGGCGTCAGTCACTTCCTACTGCCTTGCCTGGCTCCAGGTACATAGTCATCCTAATGCTAGAGGCCTCATGTCCCTGGCCTGATTCTCCTTGAGGTTGGACAGGTCTTGCACTCCAGACTGCAGCCCAGCCCTCACCATCCACACCCTTGCACGTAGGCCTTTTCTCTGGTTACTCAATCTCCCCCTATGGGTCTTTCCCCTTTGGACTCTGACTGGCCACTCACCAGGAAGAAATTTCTCCTCTCATTCCCAATCTCTCAACTTCTAGTTTAAGCTCTGCTTTCCCTCCCTACTACTAGGTGGAGGAGGAGGTGCCCCCAGAACGGTGCCTGAAGGGAAAGGAGATCACCTCAAAAGGGTTCATGTTTAGGGGCTGGAGAGATAGCAAAGCAGGTAGGGTGTTTGTCTTGCATGTGACCGACCTGGTTGGATTCCCAACATCCCATATGGTCCCCACCAAGTCCCACCAGGAGTAACCCCTGTGCAATGCCGGGTGTGGCCAAAAAAGAAAAAAAAAGGGTTCATGTTTGAGGGCGTGGGGCACCTTCTTTCTTAGGGTGGCCACTAACATTTTCTGTACGTTGCCTGTGAAAGGATCCAAGGAACCCAAGTCAAACTCGAGATGTATAGCCCTGGGGAGTTACCTCAAGGGGCTGAGCGCGGGCTGTGCATGGCACTGACTGGTTCCCTGGGTACCACCAGGGCCGACCCCAGAGACTAAAAACCCACGGGACAAAAATACTCTCTGGGCTCCCAGCAGATAGGTATTTGACAGGTATTTTGACAGGTATTTATCTGCTCATTTCTTGTATGGTCCTTTCTCTCCTGGGCTTAACACTCATCATGGCTTCTCCCAAAACAAATCTGAGAGCCTGAATTGGTTCTAGCCAGATTCAGGGGCATTATTTATTCCAGTCAGCTGGGCTTTCTCAAGTCAGTCCTTGGGTCTGTCTCCCCATAGGCATCCCTTGACCTTCAAACGGTTGTTTTGCAGTCAGAGAGGTAAGAATCTATATAAACTGGCAGTCTGGCTGCAGAGGTGGCTGCAGACAGCTCTATTCAGTGGTGGGGGCGAGAGATCGACACACAGTTTCGGTCCCCAGTGGCCACGTTAGTCCAGACTCATCCCCTTCTGGTCTCAGACCTTGCTGGGCCAATCAGATTCTGTCTCCAAGAGACGGAATTCTGGGCTCTAGAGCTGAGCAGGAGACACGGGATACCCTGGAGAAGGTGCACACACTTCCAGGTCAAGACTGCCTGGAAGGGGCCTGAGCGATGGTACAGCAGGTAGGGTGTTTGCCTTGCACACAGTCGACCCGGGCTCGGTCCCTAGCATCCCAGATGGTCCCCCAAGCGCCGCCAAGAGTAACCCCTGAGCATCACTGGGTGTGACCAAAAAAGCCAAAAAAAAAAAAAAAGGGAAGGGGGGGAAGACTGCCAGGAAGTTCCTTCAATTGTGGGAGTGGTCCCACGGGCTTTCTAATAAATTCCCTTCAGCTATCCAGTTTTTGTCCATATCGGTAACAACTCTGAATAATGTAATGCAGGGTGCATTTAAGTTTTTAAAAAGAAATAAAGTATTGACCAGGAAGACTGGATTTCTGAAAAGTTTCCAACTTAAGTCTTCAGCTGGGCCTCTGAGGGCCAGCTTTATAGCGCAGAAGACATAGTATTTATTTTTTAAACACTTATTGTATTTATTTGGTTTTTGGGCAGGGCTCAAGGCATACTCCTGGCTCTGCACTCAGGGATCACTCCTGGCATTGCTTAGGAGACCAAATGCAGGGATCCAACCAGCATCAGTTGTGTGCAAGGCAAGTACTAGTCTCTGGCCCCAAAGACATGGTATTTCCATAGTTGATTATTTATCTTTGCAACCTTCTACAATGACTGTCTAATGTTTTCCAATATCATCTGCTGGGAAAATTTGTATTCCTGTCTTATAGATGGAGAAACCAAGGCAGAATGAGGAATAGGATGTATGAGTTCCAGGGTTTTTTTTCCATTTTAGGTTGAGTGACCAATGACACTAGATAGTGCTACAAATCACTGTTTGAAAACATGATGAGCACTTTTTTTCTTTTTTGAGGTTGTCCATGCTGGGCTTTGCTTGAAGCTTACTCTGTTTCTGCACTCAGGGATCACTCTTGGCAGGGCTCAGAGGATCATACAAGGTGCTGGGAATCAAAGCCAAGTCAACTGTGTGCAAGGCAAACACCCTATCTGTATATTATCTCTCTGGCCCCAAGGTGAGCACTTTTTCTATCAAAATTTTAATAGCATACATTCCTTTTAGGCGTGCCGTCTCTAAAAAAGATGGTAGCAATCCTCATTGCTACCAACCCTTCCTGCAGTTCCTAACACTCTAGCAAGACACCTCCAGACTCAAAGCGTTTGTTTGTTTATGTTAGCATATTCTTTGTTTGTTTTTAACTCCTTTAACTTTGAAGCACAATATTTTAGCGTGCCTCAAAGAAGCTGATACAGCTTTGGAGAAACATAGGCATTTGGAGAAACACTCTACGACCATCAACAGGAAGTATTCTTTCTTGTCTAATTTCTGGACGTGGAAAACATGTGAACATCTGGAATGTTTTTCACAGAGAAGAAGATAATGATCACGTCACTATCGCTGTGTCCTAATAATGATCAACACCCTGACAGACTGGTTTGAAGAGAACATTCTTATCCTCATGTTTCCTTCTGGTTTTATGAAAACACATTTTCCCCATGGCTGCCGGAGTCCTTTCAGGTGTGCAGAGGCTGCCTTGTCCTTTTTAGCGTTTTCAAATTCGTCTTTCAAATTCACCACCACCACTATTCCCTGTGTCAAGCTCATCTTCTTACGTGATGAAAGGGCCACATGTGGGTCAGAGGAATAGAACAGAGGGTAGGGCATACTCTGCACATGGTCGACCCAGGTTCAATTCCCAGCATCCCATACAGTCCCCTGAGCGCTGCCAGGAGTAATTCCAAAGTGCAGAGCTAGGAGTAACCCCTGAGCACTGCCACGTGTGACCCCCAAACAAAACAAAAGGGCGACTCCCAGAGCTCTGAAAAGCTGAAGCTATGGTGGATGACCCCCTTCTTTGGGTTCTGTTTCTTTTTCAAGAGGGTTCCCTCAGACCATTGCCCTCAGCTGTCCTTCCGTCTGTGGGTCTGGTGTGACGCCAGCCACAGAGGTGTCAAGTTCAGGCGGCTGTCAGGCGGGGGATCCACTTTCACCAGCTGCCACTCGTCCATAAGCCTCTGAGAGGCCCCAGAACTGGCTGCAGCAACCTGATGAAATGCACTTGGCACCAGCTTGGCATTTAATGTTCATGTCCGCAGCTCCTTGATACCCTCAGTGCTGCTGTGAAGTATCAGCTCCAGTGGACGTGGGGGGCGGGGTCATGGGCACTCTCTGGTGTTCCCACACAACCTGTCCTGGGCAGTGCCTGAGCCAAGAGCAGGACCAGGCTGGCTCTCAACTGCCTTTGAAAAGGGGTTCAGGGGCTGGAACAATAACACAGCGGTTAGGGTGTTTGCCTTGCACGTGGCCGACCCGAGTTCAATTCCCAGCATCCCAT